GTACCGCCCCTCTAGCCACGTGACCTTAGTTCGCACATTTTTGTGATTGGTGCTGGTTAGCGTATAGGCAACTGTCTTTCGTTTGTCTCAGGCAGGTAGTAGTGAGAGAGGCTCTTCGGCAAGATCTGGAACCTACTGGGGTCCCCTTGCGGAAGCGGAGCCCACCTCGGGAAGCTCACCGATGTCAGGCCAGCCCGCGCAGTGTTTGCCGGGCCAGCCCGGCCAGGCCGCGGCGCAGAGCACGCCGGGAGTTGTAGTTCTGGTCGCGCGACAGCATTGTCCGGGAGGCTGCAGGTGGCACTTGAAGCTGCAGCCTAGGGAGCTCCGGCCTTACCGGAACAGTAGCCCACATTAGCAATTCAGAGCTGTCAACGGCTTTTCTCCCATGCGCCCACGCTCACATCACTCTGCCTGACCGAGTGTCCGCCTTCGAAAGCGGCCTGGAAGTGGGCAGCTTATATCAAGCCAAAGACTGCCAGAACCAGGCCCACCGGGACTGTGCCAGGCTGAATGTCAGACTTGGCACCTGGCCTCCTTAGCTTCTCGTTGCACTGGAGAAGGGCAGACTGACTCAGCTTTAGGGGTGGCCAGGCAGCATCTACTCACGTCTGTGGTTCATCATTACCAGAAGCCTCAGATGACATCAGCAGAATACTCATGTACAGGATTAGGCTAGGAAGACCTTATAAGCAACTGCAGAGGCTGAAGAGGCTGAGTAGGATGGGTTCCCAGCACTCACATGGCAGGTTACAACTGCCTGTAACTCCAGTTCCAAGAGATCACACACTCTCTTCTGGCCTCTCGGGCATTGCACACATGAGCTGCACATAAACAAAAGCAGACACATACATACGCGTAAATGTCTGGTTTTGTTTGTTTGAGACAGGGTTTCTCTGTATTGCTTTGGAGCCTGTCCTGGAGCTCTCTCTGTAGACCAGGCTAGCTTGGAACTCAAAGGGATTCCGCCTTCCTCTTTCCGAGTGCTGGGAATAAAGTCGAGGTCCACCACTACCTGGTCATAAATGTCTGTTCTTAAAAAGAAGTGGCTTGCTGGGAGGTGGTGGTGCATGCCTTTAATCCCAGCACTTGGGAGGCAGAGGCAGGTGGATCTCTGTGAGTTCGAGACCAGCCTGGTCTGTAAGAGCTAGTTCCAGGATAGCCTCCAAAGCCACAGAGAAACCCTGTCTACAAAAACAAAAACAAAACAAAACAAAAAAAGAAGTGGCACAAGCACATTTTGCTCTTCTGCTAATGTGTGAACACATGCTTAATATGTTTGTCTTCAAGAAAACAAAGAAAAGATTTTTTTAAAAAAGAAAACCATATTTAATAGTGAAGCTTTCTAGCAAACCCCTTCTGCTCTATAATACATCATATATGAAAGCATAATAAAGTCTACTTGTACATAATTACCTGTAGGAAACAAAGCCTGAGGAAACTGAGTGTTCAATGCCTTTTAGACACAAACTTTTAGAGAGAATCCAGCAAAAAGATGTCAGGAAAGAAGAAAGACACCACTGTTTTAAAAAAAAATGTGATTATCTACAGCAGTCTTTATAATTCCTATCACAGACCTGAAGTGCTTGTTGATATTGAGGCCGTGTTTGGCTGTGTCAGACTTTCCCTGTCTGCCTGTAAAGGTGAAAACTGTATGGTAATATGACTCAGAGCCAGAAACACAGGAAGCAGAAAACCAGAGATCAGGGGGTTTTGTTTTTGTTTGTTTTTGAGATAGGGTTTCTCTATGTAACAGCCCTGGCTGTCTTGGAACTCACTTTGTAGACCAAACTGGCCTTGAACTCTCAGAGATCTGCCTGTCTCTGCATCCCAAACTCTGGGATTAAAGGAGTGAATCAGTTCATCACCACTGCCTAGCCCCAGAGATGAGGTTTTTGTGTTTTTCTTTTTTTTTTTTCTCTCTTGCTCTCTCCTTTGAATAAGAAGGCAAATTACAACTATAATCAAAATAAATTTCACACAGTGAAGGTCTTTTCTAGCTGAATGTTTTAAAACATTGCATCTGGGAAAAGACCTTAGTCTATTGCTCCCAGGGTGGTACTATAAAGTCATTAAACAGCCCAGAGCTAGGGGAGATATTGCTCCCTGGTTATCAAGCTGCCAGGAAGTAAATATTAGAACTAAACTGAACTTGAAATGCTCTCAAATTAAAACACAAACAGTTGCTTTGACTTGGTCAAAGGTATTTTATTGAGAAGTAGGGCCCAGATGCTGCCTTTATCTTTAACTATTGCTTAAAGGCAGGGGAACAAAACTTAGAAAAAAAATCAGTGTCATCTCATGTGCAAGCAGTAGTCAGAACTGATGAAAACATAAACAAAATGGGGCTGGGGCTGTAGTTCTGTGTGGTACAGCACTTGCCTTGCATGTGTGTGGTACAAGAGTCAGTCTCCACTGCTACCATGGGAAAAAGAAAAACAGGTGGAATTATGAGCAGGAGGAAGAAACTGGAGCCAATAGATGTCTTCAGTATGGCATGGGTTTTGACATTTCTTGTTTTTTACGTGTAATATAAAAATCCCACTTCCACCCCCAGAGGGTTTCTCTGTGTAGCGATGGCTGTCCTGCAACTCAGAGATCAGGCTGGCCTTGAACTCAGAGATCTGCCTGCCTCTGCTTCCCAACTGCTGGGATTAAAGATGTGTGCCAGCATCTTCCAGCAATGTAATACAGAAATCTAGTCTAATCTAAATCCAATCCTATGGAAACAGGGAAATGCCCAAAAGTTGAGTAGTACCAGTGTTCTGCCTGATTCTGACATGTTGCCCTCATCTGCTGTGACATGTCTGTACTAATTACCAGAAAAACTGTCCCCTGTGGTAGATACTACACAGATGTTTGGCTTTCCATCATTTCTTATCTTGAATGTTAAGACAATGGTGTCATGATTAAGAGAGTTCACTCTGGAATCAGACTTCATGAATTCAAGTTCCAGCCCTGACTCTGAATTTCTGTGAATATGCTCATGTGTTACAAGTCTGGCTTACCATTTGTAAAACAGACTAGAACAAAACCTACCCCAAAAGATTATTATGAGATGTCATCTGTTTTGTTTTGTTGTTGTTGTCTTACAACCTGCCACCGAACCCAGATTGGTCTCAAACTATATAAGTAGTCAGAATGACTTTGAACCCCTGATTCTCAGGTCTCCTCCTTTTACATGCTGTAATTACAGTTACAAACCATGTGTCTGGTTTTTCATGTGGTACTGAGGACTGCTCCCAGGGCTTTGAAAATGCTTAGCCCTACCAGTTGAACTACATACACATCCCTAGTGTTTTCTTATTGGTTTATTTTATTTTCTTATTATTTACTTATTTGACTTTGTTTAAAAAAATATTTACTTACTATGTATACAGTATTCTGGCTGCATGTATCCCTGCAGGCCAGAAGGGGGCACCAGCTCTCATTACAGATGGTTGTGAGCCACTATGTGGTTGCTGGGAATTGAACTCAGGACCTCTGCAACAGCAGTCAATGCTCTTAACCTCTGAGCCATGTCTCCAGCTTCCACTTATTTGGCTTTTAGAGAACATTTTTACATTATTATTTTTATTTTGTGTGTATGAGTGTTTTATCTGCATGTATGTATGTGCAGCATGTGCATGCCGTGCCGCAGAGTCCAGAAGAAGACATTGGATCCCCTTAGAACTGGAGCTAGAGACAGTAGTTAGTGCCATGTGAGTCTGGGAATCAAACCTGGCTCCTCTGGAAGGGCAGTTAATGCCCTTGACTGCTAAGCTATCACTCCAGCCCTCTCATATTTGTGGGAGAGTTTGTTTGTTTGTTTTGCTTTAGTGAACCAAAATTCATTTTCTCATCTAAGAAGAAATTTCTCTGAAACAAGTGCAATACATTTTTTTGTAGCTAAAAGCCATATAAGATATAAACATAAAGACAACCTTCATAAACAGAGTATTATATTTATAGACATTAATTTTGATAGAAAGTGATTCAACAAACCTAAGTTAACAGTTGATCAATGGATCTTGGAATGAGCAGAGTAATTTTTCAAATTTTACTAATGCTGTATTTTATTTTTTGGGACAAGGTCTTACTTTGTATTCTTAGCTGGCTTGAAACTTACTATGCAGATCACGTTGTCCTAAAACTCATAGAGGTCTGCCTGCTTCGTTCTACAGAATGCTGAGATTGGAAACACACCACCATGCCTACATTATTTATTGCTTGTTTGTTTATTGGGACAGCCTACAGTGTCTCACACAATAGCCCAGGCTGACCTGCAATTCATTGTCCCAAACTGACCTCAAACTTGAAACAGTC